GCATAAACGGCACCAATACCGGTCCTGTCTCATCGTTTTCAAATCATTCGGATTCTTCAAAATCCGGTTACAGAACAAGTAGTGGCATGAGTAATAATGGGCACAATAGCACCGGCAGCTCCACTAACAACAGTGTTGGTGGCACTGGTGGTGGTGGTGGGTCTGCATCAACCTGTCTTATGGTGTTTGCCTTGTTCTTCGCCGCTCTCCTAGTGGGGAAACCGCCACCAACAACAAACCGAAGCCCTTTAGATTCTGGCCTAATATTTGCACCGTCCTCTCAGGGTTTACTGGACAATTTGATGTCCAACGGGCCGGCCAGTTTTGTTTCTGGTTCGTTCAGTCAGGTGGGTTGTTTTTCTATCATATTTACCATGAGTGAAGACCTTTTTCCTGTTGCCATTTCACTTTGTTTATGCTCTCTGTTAATAAAACCAGATCGTCTGTGCGCTAGCTTCAAACGAGGTTGAATGTTAGCACTTGACAATAACACGGTGCTGTCAATAGTTAATAATCATCATTCCATTATAGATGTTTAGAGTTATTAAGCTGTTAACTGAAACAAAACCAATTACAATTTCGACTTGAGATCCACCTTCTCCTGCATTTTTGTACGGTTTGTAATGAAATATTTCCTTGCTGCTCCACAGTAATGCGTCGCAATGGTTATTGCATCATCGTCATTATCGTACAACGGAATATAGTGAGATGAACTTCACTGATCGCTCCCAAATTCACATATAAAGTACGTGAGAATGTCTAAGGTGGTCAGGGATTGGGCGTGTTTTGAGGGGAGGAGGTGGGTGGGTGAGCGAACCTCTGTGATCAACGCGGTCTAACTGTGCACACCCACCTCTTCAAACATTCTGGCCGGATAAAATGTAAGGAGCGCCACTGCCGTTGTTCTGCTGTTACTTCTTTCGTTATCTCCAACCAACCGGTTACAGAGTCTTCTGTACACTTCTTCATACCATCCGTTGACCTGCACCTAGTTTCCTCTAGCCTGGCGCGGTGCGTTAGGCGACCTTTAGGCATATTCTAAATGCATTCCAACCAGCAAAGTCTATTAATCTGAATTTGCTGTGATAAAGAATTTTCCCTCAATACATCCCCGGACATACGACGGTTTACCTTTTGGTAACTAACAGGGTCACTCCGTCTCACCTGGGCCAAACCACACCATCAATTAAAAAACCCAAATTATGATTGTCTTCTATCCTCAGATCTAAGGTTTCAACCGTAAAGCAGCACTGATCGAACGCTGGCAAAGTTCACTTTAACTTTATTACTTCAGTATCAACTTCTACCGGTTCCGACCCATCTAGTTTCAAAGTAAGACTAGTTGGCACTCAGTCTTGCAGCATTGGTTTGCACCGAGGATGCAACACAATCAAACAAACAAACTGTCGCCAATGTACTCTAAATCACAACTTCCTCCTGCTGCCCAGTTGATACCAGCATTTTGGAGACCACTTTTTGCGTTCGCCAGCTTTTCATCCAGGACTAAATTAAACAAGGATGGCGAAATTGGGCCCCCTTGAAGAAAACTGCTTCCGGCTTCAAACGATTTGCTTAGTTCACCGTAGATCCTTACTTTACCAGAAGTATTCAAGTGCAGTGGCCTCGGTAGGTTTGTACACTTCCTTTTGGAAGAAACCGACCCATTGGGGCCACGCGATCAACTAAGCTGAAGACTCCTTTTAAGTCAGGGAATTCCGCTATCGTTGATCGACAATGTTTAGTGTAGCTGAGGGACTTGATGTAACGAGGGAATTTAGTGGATGCAGCCGTGACCTGTTCGGAATCCGGCTTGTTCGCGAATATTCGGGGATGAATATCAGCGAACAGTGGTTACGATATCGCTCCACAGCGGCAATTACCGATCGGCCCGATTATATGCTACTGGAAAATTGATACACTACAACCACTGGATCGTATTCCTCATTTGTCCTTTCAACCGTATACATATTGGAGCCTTTTGAACCCTATGTGATCTGGCACATGTCTCAAGTTGTTGTATCTAATGTCCTCAAAGTAACCCAGGTCTTCATAGCCATAAGATACACCCGTTTCTACTGCGTATGCAATACACATATTTCTGAAACTGAGTACCTTCCTATTCCTATTTCCTCCTCATGCCCGTTGATTGATTACATTCCCTAAAAATGGGTTCACATTTGTTCCGTATCAACTGAATACTACAGTTTTATTATTGTCACCTATTATGCTGATTGCTATTATCTTGTCATTCTTCCTTTCCTCACAAGTCCGGCAAGACTAAGCGGAAACTTTACATTTCACCTTCACTTGTTATATGTAACTTTATTTGGCTTTCGTTGTCGCTTTCATGCTGTCTTGCTTCTTGAGTTGGATTTCAAAATCTGCTTTCTTGAGAAGTGTGCGAATAAAGTGATGGACGTAGGGGATCGCTAGTTAGTGTGATCAGGCGTCCATGGTTTTGCGCAGATTTTCCCATCGGTGCTCCAGCGAGCTTTTCGGATTGTGACCAGCGATTTTTCAGTTTCAAAGACCTATGTTAGGGCTAATAAAATAAAACAGCACCAGACAGGTATATCGTATTTTCCGTTTCACACGGGTCCTTGTTTCCAATTCCACGCTCACACGTATACCGCTCTTAATCGCGTTGACTTTCTCACTCACTGACACTCTGCAGAGCGGAACAATGATCTAGCTAATAAAAGCCCTAGAGGATTGCGCACACTAATATTCACTGATTAAAATGTGCAATTAAGTGTGCACTTGAATATAATATGTGCTTGCGAACGATTCGTGTGATCCTTGGTTATAACCATAATAGGTGTTATCTCTCCACTTATATTTTTCATGTGCAACTTAATACTTACTGACCGACACAGTTTATCTTAGTGCGGAATGACACAGTTTCTAGAACGTCAATTCAATTTTCGCGGCGTTGACTAGATATCAGGCACATTATTTGGTCTGTGCGTATGTGTGTGTTCAGAATTGTGACAAATATCGATCATTGATTGTCAACTGTCTATGGTCGATTAGATCGACTGACCCCGGAACTACTATACCTGCGGACAACGACAGGTTACACTCTCCTCGTCAGTCCGCTCACTTTTTATTGTACCCGTATTGTGCGACCTCTTGGTCCGGAGGACAGTATCGGGTGTGTGCGTCTGTGTTTGTGAACATGTGCATGCATGCTATGACGCACACGGTCGTGAATATCAGTACAGCTAGATATAAAGTTCTCAGATCCATGCAGTGTAACTGGCTATTGGTTGATGAAGTGTTTTAAACATATACGTAATACGAGGAACTTGTTTTTATTTGCCTGAAATCTTAGTATATCTAAAAATACCAACAATTTTCGGGAAAGGGAAAGTTAGATCTAAACAAGTTTAATGTTAAATGAATCCAACCAACCACGTTCTGTTGAGAGCCCCACAAAGTGATGAGTGCTTTAGTCGATTGGACCGGGGTAGACACGGTCTGTCATGACTGTCCAATCTAGATGGTCTGATTTCTCTACAGACAAACCAAAGTACTTTGTGTAAGTTACCGATCGAGGTTGGAGGTTTCGGTGGGGTGGTTTGACTGTGTCCCCTAAGCCGGGAACGTTGTCTTTGATTTTTAATCGCGTAAGCTAAGGCATAGAAAGCACAAACCAGGCGGTAATTGACCTCATTCGTCCGTGTAGGAAAGCGAATCTCATCAAGATAGATCGATAAGTCGATCACGTGCTCAGATGTAAATGATGGCATGAATCATTACATAATTGTACTCAGTCTTGATCCTTAAGAGTGGTTTAGTTCCTTTGGGCCATTGGTTCCTTCAAATAGCACCGAGTCTTTCTAGCCAAATGCGTTTTATCACATATTTCTGGCTTGTCCAGATGCTTAACAATGGATCAAGTATGCAGCGAGATAATCATCAGCATTTTACCAGAATAGCAAGATCGCATTTTAATTCATTTGCCATTTAACAGAAATTACATTTTTTCACCGTGGTTCTCCAGTTGATGACTACATTCTGTCTACAATGATAATGACACCAACCTGATACTTGCTGATCCTCCCTTCGTTGCTCAGTTTCCACGTATTGTTTTTATCATCGGTGCATCATTTCTCATCNTTCTCATCGTTGTCGTCTCGTTAGATTGCCTGACTACATCTGTGTTATCCTTACAGTTAAGTGACCGAGACAGGCGGTGATAAGAATAACTTGGTTATTCATGATTCACCAAATGATAATAACTTGGCTCTAGGTTCTCGGCTTGAGCAGTATACGCAGGACTGAAACACCTTTGGCGTAGATGCGACGTTTCATCGAAGTTGAAAGATCATGTATATTGTGCTCCCGTTCGTTCAGTTCTGCATTATGGTTGTGAGACCTTGAATTTGCGAGTAGAAGAAATCCATGGACTAGAGGTTTTCGATTATCGGTGTTTACCTAGTTTAGCCAACGTGGGATGGGGCGAGCGGGTTAGTAATCGGGAGGTGTAGGCCGTCGTGTTTTCGGGAGTCTATCAAAGATAAACACGCTNTAGCTCATCGAATTCAGATTAGTAGGCTTCGCTAATTAGGATGCGTATTGCGTATGCCCAACTGTCGTCTGCCGCACCGTGCTTTATTCGCTGTAGCCGCTCCGGGCTGGAGAAAACCACGTGGAGGTTAACGGATTCCGTGGAGATGAGGCGTCAAGAAGTCCACAGAGCCATTAGGTAGAGTAGGTGTCTCGCGCCTTCCAGGTTGGGGTCCAAAAGACTCCGCAACTGGTTGGTTGGAGATATTAAAAGGTTTGGCAGCGTTCTTGTTTTCGTTTATCATCAGGGCAGAATGCTTGAAACGGTATGTATGCACAGTTCGGTTGTGTACTCTGTGTTGATCATAAGAGGTTCACTTTCTCCCCCTCCCTCAAAATAGCCCTAATCCTTGTCCACCTTACTATTAATCTTGTATACATTGCGAGGTTGGCAGCGGTCAGTGAAGTTCACTTCACTGTATTTCGCTATACAATGATGATGATGATAGGTGCATCATGAGGTATTTAGTCGAGGTGACAACAGTATTCGACTCATGTTTCCCATATTCTTAATCAGCAAGGCATTAAGAAACCCGCAGATCACTTAAACAGAGTAGTTGTTTTCAGTCTTCCAGAATGAGATTAAAAAGACCAGAACTAGTTGGTTGGAAACAACTAAAGTTCATTTCACTGTGGTTCGCTGCATTATGGTATATATTATATTTCACTCGCGTCTGAGTCCAGACTGTATGCTTAACAAATCACAGTACAATAATCTTCATAACAAGGAAAATGTTCATGATTTACTAGTGGATAGGCTACTGACGGGTGGCCCAAACCTAAGCCAGTGAATTTTCTTCGGGAATCCATGACAGAAATCTTTGCTTAACCAAAGACTGACTCATAAAGTAGCGGATCGCGATGTAAAAGCTGTAATCCATTGAGGACCTGTCCCCTGTTTATCGGATCTTACGCTATTTGGACGGGATCAAAATGTCCGAGGTGCCGAACATACCTCGATACCCAATCGAGCCGGTGACCACTGCTACAACTGAAGTGTGTATTTGGTTGGTTGGTTTCTACTCAGGGTTTCAAGCCCACTTCCCTGGTTGAGCTGCTAGTGATTCACCAACTCGGTTATAGCCCTAGAAGTTGACTTTTCGTCCTATCGTTTCGGTGGGAAAATACTTCCGATCTAGGAAGGGACTCAGTGAAGCATCCACAACAGAGACCGTTCAAGATTCTTGGTCGTATAGGAACACTTCACGCGGTGCAATATGAGGGTGACCAGCCATGATGCACGATATCCACTCTTTATCATACTGAAGCTTTCGGAGGTTGTACGAAGACGTTGATGATGATACCCGCGGTCTGCGTAGCAATTAGAATTGATCATCTAATGAGGAACATACAGCAGCAAAATGTGTTTATTTTGCAGTTGGTAGAAACAGCGTTGATTAATCTGGTGCACTGTATTTACGTGTTTTAAAGGCATACTGGCTTTAACTAATAATGAACGCTTTCGTCCCCTAGAGGAACTGTGCACCATCGGTTAAGTTGCTGATGCGCATCAAAATAAACTTTTGGGGACGGACAAACATGCTGCTTGAACTACTTGATTTGATTGACCTACTAATTACATTACTTGAGGCTTTTCATCTATTTCAATCATGGGCTTTATACAAGTTGGACGATTTCCGAAATCTCGTTGAACACTTCGTTTTCTACCCCTTAGGATATTTGTTACGTAGTGGTCACGCTTGAGACGCCGAGTTAGTTGTTAATCTATTAGTGGTGTTGCCAGACAGGAAATAAAATCGATTTGGGCATAGTGTTTTCTGTTTTCAGAAGTTCGTACTGGTCCTCATGAATGAGTTCAAGTCAAACCATTCCCGTTCCTTCTTCATAGTACCGGAAATACTGTCAGCGCTGATGATTTATTATTTTCTAGGCAAATTATTTGAACGGGAAAATGAATAGGTTTCATAATTGATTTGATCTCAATTAATCTTCTAATGCATTTATTATTCTTATTCTTATTGGTATTGATAAGGAGAAAATAATCGGCGATCTTCAAGCGGTCTAGTTTGTCACCCGTATTTCCTGCGTTTGAACCTAACCACTGTTCTCTAACTTGCCCACTCGTTGATTAGTGGGTTTTCATCCACCTTGGTTCCCTGAATATCGATTATATCATTGCCATACATTTGTTAAATCAAAGTTGAAAAAATTATTTTTATCATTATTATTTGTCTTTCATCATAGATCGGGTATACTTGGTCACGTCGCCCCGTTTATGGACCTTATTTTGGCCACGGAATACGACCTCCGAACATGCAATGGTCTTTTGGAAATAACTCGATATCTCAGCGTACATCATCTGACTTCTCTATGGATTCAACCCAGTCAGAACGTTCAGACTGTAAAGAAAGTGTGGATTGGCACTGTACAACTCTGGTTGACAGTCAACATAATTCGATTTTGTCCGGGTCAAAAGCCAAGTCAACACCAAGTGAGTTAATCATCTTCGTTCTAAACGCTGGAATCTATTGTGAGGCATGGACCATTGGCTCAGTACAATGCCTACGCTACTGTAGTCTTACTTGGTCATTCACTCCAATTCCCGGATCCTGAGTTTAAGTTTGCTATGAGTGGACAGTAGACTATGGGGTTTGCTCCTTTCGCTGTTCGTTACGCAAAAACTCGTCATGTGTACCATATCTATTTTCTTCAGTTTCTGTGTCTGTCTTGTTTGCCACTCCAAGTTTCAGGATTTAGGTAGCCGGTTTTCATGGCTAAACAATAGGGTATGGTGACTACAGAGTTCATTGCGTCTACTGTTTGTCACACACGATGAAATTCCTTTTCAAAATATCGTATCAGGCTTCTAGATGTGTATTGCTCGTAGCAAACAAGTGCATTGATTCCGTTACGCTTTGTTTTTTCACGGACACGATTACCGTTTGTGATCCACGTACTTGTGTCCACTATAAAAATGCTCATCTGAGCCAAGGGTACAACACGTTGTCAGAGTTGTTGAACAATGGGGTAGCATCAGCTCATGTAAAATATATATATACCTGGCTTCGTATATGCAACAGAATACCCCCCTCCATGAGCGGAAGCGCCAAA